TATGTATTGTCAGTAACAATAAGCATATATAATAAATAATTTAAGGTAGGTAGTCTTTCCAAAGTCTCATTTATGACAAATATAATATTTCATTTGAAATGTTTTCAGTGAACGAAGGTAATTTTTAGTTGTTTTTTTTTTTTAGATTATTTATTTATTTGGCAGAGAGAGAGACACAGCGAGAGAGGGAACACAAGCAGGGGGAGTGGGAGAGGGAGAAGCAGGCTTCCGCCTGAGCAGGGAGCCTGATGTGGGGCTCGATCCCAGGACCCTAAGATCATGACCTGAGCTGAAGGCAGATGCTTAACAACTGAGCCACCCAGGTGCCCCTGATTTTTAGTTTTAATTCTGAGTTTATTAAATGTCTGTTTTGTTCTTTACAGTTCATGTTTTGTCAAAAGAAATACTACTATTTTTTTGTTGACCAAAGGAATGTGAATTGACAGTGTCTACAAAGTATATTAGAAAAAATATTTTAAAAACTTGTACTTTTTTAAAAAAAGTGTCAGTAACTATTATCTCCCAAATTTCTTTACTTTTTAAATTGTGTATATTAGTCAGAGAAACGGTTCTTACGTCAAGGTGAAAAATGAGAAGTTCACTCTGTTTTATTAGGAATAGATTATTTTAGAAAGTGTTTTTACGTATATTTGTGTTTATCTTATTTGTTGCAAATCCCACCAGGTTCCCTTTTTGCCTGGTTCACTAGGAAATTCTGAGAAAATATGATTGAATTGGAAGTAGCAAAAACATGTAACAGTTTCTATTTGTTTCTCATCTGCATCTTTTGCTGTTTTTTATCATTCTTCCTCACTTTGTAACCCAAGAAACCTCAAATCCTGCTTGGAAATCCAGGCTGCATAAATCATGAAATAATTAAAATAATTATCTGGTAAGTACAGTAAAAAACAGCAGAAGTCAAATTTATTTTTGCTACCTGCAAGCTACATAAATGTGTCATGAGCAAACAGACACATTGCATATTTGGGGCAATGGTTGACTCTTCCAGGTTCTTAAAACCACAGTCTTTATCTCACCATAAAATTTGCCAAAAAGAAGTAACAGGAGGATAATAAAAAGTCTATGTGTACCAATTGGTAGAGTGGATAGAGGGAAGGAGGAGACAGTGAGCAACTGTATTTTTTCATAGATATAGAAAAGAATTTCAATTTCAGAAGAGAAGAAAAACTGTTAATAAAACATTTTATATAGAGCCAACAATTCTGCAAAACATGGAATAACTTTCCCTTATAATTAATGTCATATTATCAAGATGCTAGAAATAGAATTGCTGAAGAATATTATTAGTATATTATTAAGCCTTCTTCTCCCTGGGTACATAAAAACCACAAAGGGCTAGATACATGCATATCAGCTTATAAAAATGTTGTAATGTGGACATAAATTTGCTTTATGAAACTTGTGGTTGGCCCTCTGAGAAGCAATAATCCCTATAAGCTGTCTCCAGCTACAAATCCTCACCCATGCACTAGGCACCTCTGGAGGCCACAGGAATTTACTACTTGAAAGACAGAGTGGAAAGTTCTCAGACTTAGCCTGATTACAAACCTTACAAGCAAATCCACAATAACATTTGTATCTGCTAATCAATTATACAGAACATGGATGGCAGTTAGGAGATCCGTCACGTATCCTCTTATTAAACACTAAGCAGCTTGGGGCTCTGTCATCTTCTCTTGGCAAAATATTTGAAATTAAAATTAAAAAGATGCAGAGGAATGTTGGTAATGAACATGGGCCTCCTGTATTTGATTTACAGGGAGTGGATAATGCAGGCAACGCTTCCCAATGTAATCTGGAACAAAGATTTTAATCATTTTTTTTTCATTCTAAGAGAGGGTTAAGATTTTGTCTCACTTCCCTATCTATGAGACTTGAGGTGAGTTAGTTCATCTCTTCGGACGCCAGTTTCCTCATTGATAAATACGGACAATTAAAGTAGATATGTTACTGTGTGACTGTGAAGAATATGTGAAAAAATACAAGTCACATATTTAGAAGTATTGGCACATAGTAAGGACTCAATAAACATTCGTGTGCCAGGCATTGAGATAAGAAGGCTGTGCTTGCGTTTAACTAATTTACACCTTCTGGTAAAGCAAAAAATTATGATCAATAAATAAACAAAGACGAACCATTAGAGACGATGGACTCTGAAAAACAAACTGAGGGTTTTGGGGGGAGGGGGGTGGGGGGATGGGTTAGCCTGGTGATGGGTATTAAAGAGGGCACATTCTGCGTGGAGCACTGGGTGTTATGCACAAACAATGAATCATGGAACACTGCATCAAAAACTAATGATGTAATGTATAGTGGTTAACATAACAATAAAAAATTATTAAAAAAAATAAATAAATAAACAAGCAGGAAAGCACTCTACGAACAAGAATCCTGGCTCGTACCCATCTTCGATGAGGTGATTCAAATCTTGACATTTACTGCAATGAATTGTAGATGATCTTCTAAAGTAAAGACTCTTTCAAATCCTGATAAGAGTTCAGGAAGTTTTTAAAAATTTTTGCCCTGCAATACTTGTAGTTCTTGATGTTTCAACAGTAATTCAAAAAAAAAAAAGGTCTTGGGAAAAAGAAAAAAGAACAAAGAAAAGCAACTCGAAATAATTTCAGTTTGCTTAATTTTTTTTTATTTTCCTATGGAATGCTGATGATATTGATATATCTGAAAAGAACAAGTGTTGGTTTCAGAAATGCAATTGGAACCAAAAGAGATAGGTCAAATAGGTAAATTTTCCTTTAAAAAGATGCTAAAAATCAGTCTGATGTGTGGTGCTTTGGTGTTAGGAACCCTTGATTCTTTAGTGCCTTTAGGTTATATTTGAAATAAACATCTGTGTTAATGTCCTGAAACTTTAATATTTGCACCGTCCTCAGATACACCTGTGTACACATGCACACACATTAAATAGACTCACTGTCTCCTTCACAAAGTTCAGTAGCAGGTGAGGAGAGCATTTCGTGAAGTGCTTGCTTGAATTTGGAGTGTTCTAAGATGAGATAATTTCTGTGCATGGTGGCAGATAAATTATTCAAGTCAGTGAGGGATTATTTACAAAGAATTGATCCGAGTGTTAGTATGCCACTGAAAGTGAGGGAGTAGGTAGCACAGGGTCAAGTGTATGTCTACATTAATTGAGCCTGCCACATCTGGTTCATTACATTCTTCACAAGAAAAATTTTAAGTGATCCAAAATGAACACTGTATTGTTGGGAGGACTAAAATTTTCAAGGAATCTACAATTATTTTAATCAGATTGCAATCGTTAAACAAAACTAGGATATCTTAACCTCCATTAGAAAGTCTCCTTCCCTTCTTGCCTCTTTTAGTTCTTTGCTTTCATTTTGTGGTAACTAACCTATGAATTCTTTTTTCTTCTCATTACATTTTATTCAAATGCTTCTCTTTCTATGAATTCTCCTCTCTTTATAAAATTACTTTTCCTTCCTTTTCTCCTTTCTCCTTGCACTTTCTCTGCCAAAATATTTTTGGAAATAAATCGTTCTCAGAAGCATGTAAAGAGCTAACAGGGATTTAAGCATATAATATTAGATTAGATATCTTAGATAATGTTTTGTTTTAGAAATAACAGTAAAAATTCATACCATAATGCAAAGAAATAAATATAGTAAAACTGGCAGCATTTCTTTTACATATTTCCAAAAGATTTTCATATTGTAGGAGAAGACATATGCCACCGTATGCAACATAAGGTTATCATATTCATATCTATCTCGTATGTCTAGGACAAATTTTATTTAGTGCTAGGAATGTAGAATGAGATGGTCTCACTGCGCCTTGACTTCAGACACTGTTCACCTTACAAGGACCAGAGAAAAAGCTTTTAACCAATTGTTTACCAACATTGCACAGCAAATGGAGAAATCCATCTGTTAAATGCAACCCAGTTTTTCTTGACTAAACGGCGGTGTTGAAATAGAAATTCCTAAGTTATACACTTATCTCTAGTGGCCTGCCCTCAAGTGAACTTACCCTGAAATCTAGCTGTAAATTAGATTAGTTATTTTACTTACTGCCTCTTCTAAAATGGAACTCTAACAGAAGTATCTTTGGATATGAAATATAGGACTTGTATTACACATTTTCTCTAACGCCTCATACAGCTTTACAAACAATGGCACAAAACCTATTTTTCTCAGTGATAGTTAAAGAGATTTTCCTACTGTACAGGTCTAATTGCTTTTAAGAGACTGTAAGAACTAAAAATATGAAAGTGTTGTTGTTGTTACACTCTGAGTTCTTAAGTATCCAATGTATGCTTTGTCTCTGGGTCTATTTCTAGTGCTCAAGCACTCATTACTAAGAATTAGATCAGATTATGATTCTGTAGTGGTTATCTTAATTTTGCATATGTTCTCAATCAAATAGTACCTATCTATTATCTTTCATCTCAGTGTCTATGAATAAATCCCAGAGCTATTTAGGTCTTTGTGCTTTGCTTTCTAGCTCTTTTGTCTAATAAACTATTATATATCTCACTGTAATAACAGTGAAGTATGTTTGGCAAACTAGCTCTCTTTTATTAAATGTGCGTTTTAATTGGATATTAGAAACAACCAGTTCTAAAAATGTGATCGGCCCTGCTTTCTTTTGAGATATACTTACCACAAAAATGTACTCTGTGGGAATTTGGCAAACTACCTGATAATAGGATAAATCATTTTTAGTTTACAGGAAAAAGCAAATGCTTCATTATTTTGTTGCTATTATTTACTATATCAAAAAGCAAATATAATTTTAGCTAGCTATGTGCATGTGAGTCCAGATATCGTTTGATAAGATGAGGCAAGTGGGAAAACTTCCATTTCTTTGTGATTACACATCAGGTATGTCCTTATCTCTAAAAACATTAAGGAGGAAGGAGTGAAGCCTCCCTACTTTGTTTTTCCAAGTAACTTCAGCACTGATAGAAAAATCTAAATTATGATGTGTTTACTTTGCAGGGGCCAATGAGAAAGAAATAGCCCTAATGAATGGTTTGACTGTTAATTTACATCTTCTACTGGTAAATATCCTTTCCCACCAATGTTTCGTATACACTCATTTGTAGAATCTGACATTTTTCTATCTTTAATTCATGAGCATCTGGGGGTTTACTTATTTAAAAATAAGTTGTGAGGTTATTTTCATTCTTACCAGGAAATGCTGGACTGTGATAGAAAGGCTTCTTCGTAATCATGGGAGAGTTGACTCTTGCAAAGAGCTTTAGAATAATGAACGGTTCTTATCTCAGAACATAAGGAATAAAAGTCACAGTGGATTAAAAGCAAAACTGCTTGCAAGCACACAAAACAATGATGTACAAATGCCAATAAACACTGAGCTTTTCAGAAAGATAGTTTTCCAGCATGCTGGACTTGAGCAGGGTGGCATTCTGATCAGTTATGCTTTTATAGACTAATTTTGGGGGAGAAAGTTAAAAAAGAATTAGAAAATAGAACTAAATTGGAGAAAAGGGATCTAATACCTTAAATGAGTTACTGTATTTAAAGTGCTTCCTACTTCCTAAGTACTTAATAAATATGTATACCTTAAAATGTCAAATACATTCTTGATTTGGAATATGGTGTCTGTAGTAACTGCTTGATGTTTGAAAAAAATTTATTTCATTTTTAAGTTAGTTTTTGGAAACATGTCCATGTGACCAAAGCACACGATGAATATATTAATATTTTATTTTGATAAAAATGAAGAAATGATTGTTAAATATCCCTAAAGGAACACGTTCACGGAGTATGTTAAACATGATGGTAAATAGCATAGTTTTAAATTCAGACACCTCGGGGTGTGATTCCTAGCTAAGTTACTTAATGTCTGACTTCGGATGAGGTTTTGGTGATTTCTACATCTTCCATTTTCTCCCTGTGAAGATGAGGACAAGAATACCTACCTGATATGTATATACAAGGGTGAAATGTGATAATATGTGAAAATTGCTTTCGCACCCTGACCAGTGATCAACACTTACGTCAACAGTAGCGATCATTTCATTGTTACCGTTGTCAGTGTTTATTCTCTAGGAACTGTGGGGGGAAAGGAAGGGCTCTCTCCTGAACAAATGAGCTACTCCTCCCTGGTGCCTCTAGAAGTATCAAATGTTTCATGTTAGGGTTGGGGTCCTTTCAGTTGGACCGAAAATAAAATCCCATAAAATTATAAGGCAATGGAAATATTACGTACCAGAAGCCAAATCAGCAGCATAAGATAAATCAATATAAATAAAATTTATATAGAACATGATATTTCAGTCTTACAATAGAAATTACCATTAAAGGCATTGGGAAGATAATTTTTCAATTAAAATTTAAGTAAAGCTTTGTTTTTATCTCATTCACGTTATCTCCCAAATTTGCTTTTCTGTTGATAAATGTAATGAGCCAATACTTTCTTTTATTTTCTAATTCATTAGAAATAAGGCTAATTGGAAAAGGAGCCCTTAACAGACATCTAGATATGTCATTGAGTCATGCCTTTAAAATGCTGGAGATTATAATATGAAAGTATGGTATAAAATGAACAAATGTATAAACTGTGCATGAATGTTTTTCTTAATAAATCCATTTCATTGCAGTTATCCTTTTTTAAGCCTACACCAAAACGGTATAAAATTCTTCTGGAAGCCAAAGCCTTCCCTTCAGATCATGTAAGGATTCTTCAAATTAAATTTATATTCTTTCTACTCTTCCTAGAGGAGCACACCATTTGCCTGAGTTGAATAGTATATTCTCTAGTCTTTTCGAAGTAACCTTACAATAAAAAGATCTGTCAAATGCTTTTGATTAGGCATTTTTAAAATATAGATTGTAGCTTTATTTCTTTTGTTCAAGTAAAATGTGTTAGGGGAGGAAAGGATTGAATAGGAACACTGATTTATTAGTCTTTTTAAAAACATTGAGCGAACCGCTGGTTTAAATCAAGTGCAGTTATAAATGTTTTATTAATTCTTGTTGCTGTTTTATTTTATGAAATCAAATCAGTACATACCCTGGTGCTTAACCCTTTAGCTACATAGAATAGGGATAAAACTTTTATTTTTCCATAGCATGCTAGTGTGTGCTTTATAATTGAAAAAACATTTATTAAGGATGAAAAATATTTCTTATGGTTTATTAAATCTTACTTCTTTAAGAAATTTGATCGTTCCAGACATAGACATGGATAAAAAGTATGCATTTTTCAGTTTTAGTGTTAGAGAGAAATTTGATTTCTGTCTTTCTATTATCGCTGTTAACTGTTCTAATCCACATCTTGTAATTTAAGTCATTTAATTATGTCCAAATTAATAGCCATTACTTTACTAAAAAAGATCAAAACCCTAATATTAAGAAAAAATTCAGAGTCTTTATAACTTCCTGTTCCCATTCATATCTTGTACTCTCAGTGAAGGGAACTTTCTGATGTTCTTTCCTTTTACTAGCTTACTCTTTTTAGGATAAGCCCTTCCTATAAGCTAGTTCAAATATAGCAAGTCCACACTACTCACTCTGGTTATTTTGTAAACTCTGGTTTTGACGTAAGTTAGGTGATTTAATATCTTCTACAAATCTCTTAGAACTCTCTAAAGTCTAGATGACCCCTATGCTTCCATACATTTCTAAGATACAGTGTTTCAAGGAATGTTCAGATTCCTGCATATAAATTATATTAAGCACTTCTTTTCTGGTGTATTCTGTTCAGTCACTTTTAAACTTGACCTTAGATTTAATATAATAATATGCTTTTATTGGTATTTTATTATCTCTTTTCGGAGTTATTTCAATGTATTTCTGTGCATTGGACTTGATTCAATAAATCATTCTTCTTTTCCAGTATGCTATTGAGTCACAGCTTCAACTTCATGGACTTAACATTGAGAAAAGTATGCGGATTGTAAAGCCAAGAGAGGTATATGAGAAAGAGAAATAAATATTCATTATGTTTCTATTTAGTATTGATTTTTTTCTTCATTTTCCTCAAAAGTTTATTATCTCCATTACTTTAATGGAACTTTCAAGAAAGTATAAAAGACCTATACTTCCATTACTGCTAGCTCATTTTGCTTAAAATGGAGAATTAACTCAGAAGTTTCAAGGGATAGTCATATTACAAGAAAACTATTTTCCTATGAATACTGCTGGAGTTTGCCATATTCTTCAGTGGGATGGAAAGGAATGGCAAATTGCATATATCATTTTCTATTTATTTATTTATTTATTTATTTATTTATTTATTTGACAGAGAGGGACACAGCGAGAGAGGGAACACAAGGGGGGGCGGGGGGTGCAGGAGAGGGAGAAGCAGGCTTCCCGCTGAGCAGGGAGACGATGCGGGGCTCTATCCCAGGACCCTGGGATCATGACCTGAGCTGAAGGCAGACGCTTAATGACTGAGCCACCCAGGCGCCCCGCATATATCATTTTCAATTCCAAATACCATTGCCTTTGGATGCCTTTAAAATGATATTTGTTGAAACTGAATGATGCCTATCTTTTATATCTCTTTTTAATCTAAGTATCAAATGTTTTCCTTTGTGCTTGGACGGGGTGGGGGTGTAGAAAGGGATGTGGTGTAGCAGGAAGAGCTTGGGCCTTCGGGCCTGGCTAATACATTCCACAGAAATCTCAGGCCCACCAATTTACTGGGTAAGGGGCTTTGAGAAAGTTACTTTATCTCTCTGAGATTCCTTCATATTTAAACAGGTAACAAAGGAAACACCTAATCAGGCTTGACATATGTTCAAGATCTAAAATACTGTGCACTTTACATTAATAGAGATGTAAGGCTCTGCAGTTTGTGTAATTTGGCACCGAGAGATCCACACAGAATAATTGTAGGTTTCACAAATGATGCTCCCTGGCTGTTAAGCCAATGTTTGAACAATGATTTCTTTCAACCCAGAATACTTTGAGAGATTAAAATCTACTCCATTTAGTTCTATTTGCCAACATGCAGTCAATTAATGGAATAGAACGTTCTCATACCAATGACAGGATATCTATTTCATATGTCATATATAAAATGCTAATTTCCAGCAAAAATGAAGATAGCCACTAATTTATCAGAAGTTTTAATGTTGAAAGAGATAAGTGTTGTGGAACCTCATGAGTCAATCATAAATTTTGAGAGCATTCTTTAGCATTACTAGATTAGACCAGATCAACATCAGAGAGAACCATATTCTTTATACTTCTTTATACTGATTTAAATAAATAATTATTATATATAATACTTTTCTTTATCTTCTTCTCTTTGAAATTATGGTGGACAAACCATTTTAGATTCTTTCAAGAAAAAAAAAGTTTTGGATTACCATGTTATTGATTTTACTTAGAATTTGTCATTACTGAAATCCTTCTCTTTACATATAAAATACCCATCAGTTAACAATTAGAGAGTTCAGTATCTATACTTTTTTTTATAGATTTCAATTTTGTAAACAAGTTCCAGACTTCTAGTAGAAAATAAAGTATATGCAATATTTGTGATATATATATGTGCCTAACATGGGACACAGTAATTGATAAATAGCAAGAATTACCAAAAATTAAAAATAACTTAATGAACTTCCCCCAAATATTAATGCAGTTAATGATGCTTTGACCTAAAAAATTATGTCAGATTCAGACTGGAGAAAATTTATGAAAACTTTGTAAATGGATGAGTGATTAGGATACAAATAGATACTTTGTATTTAGCTGATTTCTCTTTGCTCAAGTTGTTTGCAAGACCAAATCTAAATTCACTCAGAATTTCCACTAAGTAACCAGTCGTTAGTCTTAGCTGGGGAGAAGTAGAAAAAACTAAACTTGATACTGAGTTTTATTGATATTTCTCTTCATTTTTGGACCTTGATCTTTAGGTCAGTATGGAGGAGAGTTTACTCTTAAGATAACAGAAAATATTGGTTAGGTTATACTCAGATGAAAGATGTGTGTTTTTTATCCAGGAAAACATAATGTGATGGATTGATAAATGAAGTCATTTCCAAGAAAATTTTGCCATTTAATATTTCAGGGACTTCTCACACTTTCTGGTATTTTATTGGATGGGAATAAGGAGAAAACAATTTGTGGGCATGTAAAGAGTAAAGATTAATTGAAAAATTGAAGAATAAATCAAGCAAGTAGGGTTTTGCAAAGACTTAACTTTATAAGCCTTTTTCTTACTATTTTGTTATCATTTCTTATAATAACAAAAAGTGTGCTGAAATGCTGCTCTCTTGCCAGACTTTCGAAGACCATTAATCTGAAAAAAATGTCTTTGATTGTTCTTATGTGGGCAAGAGCTCAAGGTGAATTTTAGATTGGGAAATATGAAGTAATAAAGGTGTTTTTGTGGATTGGATGTAACTTGTGCCTGCCTCAACTTTAGGGGGAAGAAACATTGAGAATAGAGGATATCCTTGAAGTAATTGAGAAGGAAGGAGACTCGATTGCAGTGATCCTGTTCAGTGGGCTGCATTTTTACACTGGACAGGTCTTTAATATACCTGCCATCACAAGAGCCGGACAAGCAAAGGTATGCACATCATTTTCTCCTTCCCACCTTGCCCCAAACATCACTCTACTGAGGAGTATTCTAACTGCACTTCTAGTGAAATACCTTTGTGTGTGTCTGTGTAAAATTATTTAAAGAGTTAAAAAAAAAAAAAAAAGTAAGCCTTACATTAAAAGAAAAAAATCTGCACTCTTTTTGCTTTAGGCATCTCTTTTTAAACCTTTTCTTTTTTTTGTCACTTCTGTTGTCTCACTTCCATCCTCACTACCATCTGCTCCCAAAATTGGCCTCTAATCAGCAAGACAGGTGAGCTTCCTGCAAGGTGATGTCATTGGTACTGAGTTAGTCCGTCAGCAGGCACGAGTCAGAGTACTTCGGATAATATCTACATATGCTAGGACTGTTGAAACACAACTCTGGGACTTGGTCATATTATAACTCATTCTAAATGTAATTCAGTTCTCACTTAAACTTAGGTGCTTGAAGAAAGGGAGTTGCAGAATAAAAGTTAACAGTAGATCGAGTTATACGCAGTGTACTTATAAAAAGCCACTTTTTTCTTATCTTGAGAAACGATGATCCTGCCAATAATGAGAGTTTTTCCTTACATATTTCCAAGTCACACTTACATTGTTTACTATTTTGAAATCGTGTCTCTTTGTTTTTTTTTAAAGTGTTTTTAGTATTTGTTTGCCTGAAAAAAGAAATCAGAGGAACAATATTCAACAGCTACTATTTGTATTTAAAATCCTTAAATAACAGTTCCATTTGATTCAGCAATGAAATTGTGCATTTAAAAAGGTGACAATCGAATTTTATTCTGAACATTAATAAGTTATGGGATTAATATACGTGTGAGGTCTAGTTAATATATTCAGTTATTGAAGCTAATGAATAGAACTAATGAAAAGAAATTTAACAACGTTATCAGAGGTTGCTAGGAATTTCCAGCCACGACTTCCAACTTGTTTGAGGGATAACTGTGAAAGTGGTGCATTACAAAAGATAGAAAGATAATGTCTTCTTAATTTAGGCATTAAATGTTAAACACCAAAATAAAAGGAAGTCAATAAAAAATTATATTTTAAAATGTTATGCAATTAATCACAGTCCCTGATGCCCTTAGTATACATTCATGTCTCATTAACCTTCACTGAAATGAGACAGGAAGATAGAAAAGAAAGACCATGCCTTTTGGAATCACAGTCTGAGGTTTAAATCTTGGCTGGGTCATTTAATTGTTACATGATCTCAGGCCAGTTACTTGACTTTTCTGAACCTCTTTTCACAAATGTTAATTTGGGATAGCTGGGCCCATTTCATAAATTCAGTCTTGAGAAGGAAGAATATAAAATATCTGCTGTATTGCGCACATTCTGCTGTTATAGTGAAGGATCCCTCACACCTTTTACTGCCCTCAACAAATATGAAACTATGGAAAGTGGCTCAGATATACATTTTATTTCCAATTGAAAAGCAAAATAAATTTGTTTACTTAGGTGCTATATGTAATTCTCATTCTTAACTACTTTTCTAAAACATTCTCTCAATATTTTGCAGGCTTTCTTTTACTTAAAAAGTATAATACATGCCTACCATGTGAAACTCTCATTGAGCTTTCAGTCAAATGAAGGTAGGAATGAGCAGTTCCATCTCAATGTAACTGCACAGAAGTGACGGATACAATGGGAGTGAAATGGTGATTGAGTAGACTTCAATTTATCCATTATCAAAATTATTTTAATACTCATTTAAACTCTTGCTAGACAATTTCCCCCATTCCCAATGGAAGGTTGAGAGAATTTAAAATTTAGACTTACATAGCTGAAGAGAAAGGCAGAGAAAATTAAAGGTGTCAATCAAAAAAGAGGAAATTCTAGGGGAAAAAAAAGGCATTAAAAAAATCACTGTTAGAAATGGCTAAAGAAGATAGAAAAAGAAAAAGGAAAGTTTCTGGAAATGAAGTATGGCATGAACCAAAATGATACTGAGATGGAGCAAGGAAAGTCAATAAGAATAGTTTTTATTTCATAATCATGTGAAAGGGAAGTGGGGACAAGAATTTTGAAAAAAAATATTAAGTAAAGAAATGCACGTATACCAAAAAGAGCACAAATCATAAATAAGTGGCTTGGTGAATTATTTTGAACCCTATAGCCATCACCCACATCAAGAAACTTCTAGAACATTTATGCTGCTCAGAATCCTCAATTGTGCCTTCTGTCAAATACTGTTACCTCCCTTCCAAAGGTTACCACTCCTGACCTCTAGCCATATATATTAACTTTGTCCATCTATAAATGTGTTAATATGTACTCTTTTGTATCTGTCTTACTGGCTCACTACTATGTTTCTGAGATTCTTTCTTAACAGTATGTAGCAGTAGTTTTGTGGGGGTTTTTGGTGGCAGTGGTTTTGTTTTTCTTTTCGTATATTGTTTCAGTGTATGAAATAGATCACAATTTATTTTTGTTTTCCATTCTAATTAGGATAGATATTTGGGGTTTATTTCCATTTGAGGGCTATTGCAGTAAATGCTACTCTGAACATCCTCAGACATTTTTTTTAGGTAAACTTTCACACTGATTTCTGTTACATACATACTTAGGATTGGAAGTCTTGGAAATAAGATATACATATGTTTAATCCTAATCCATAATACCAACTTTCCAAAGGGTTGTACCAATTTGATATATACTCCCATCAGCATGTATGAGAGTATCTGTTGCTCCATGTCCTCACCGATAGCCAATCTGATTAGTTTGTAATGGTAATGCATTGTAGTTTTAATGTGCACATCCCTGACTATTGAGGAGGTTGGGATCTTTCAAATGTGTTTTGCCTCTAAAAAGAAAAATTAATTGGTTAATCAAAAGAACAGTTTTGATTCATGTAATGAGTTTCAGATGCTGAGGCTTTTCTTAAATGAGAAGGCCCGAAACCATGACAAGTGGGGCAGGCTGATGAAAATTAAACATAGTATCAGGTTACAAGGGAAGGCCAGCATATGAAAAGAGACGTCAGTTTGAAGATACATTTTCATTTTTTGTCTTTGAAACCATTTACTTTATGTTATTGACCAACCCACTATTGCAGAACTCTGCCTCACTTACCTATTTCTAAATTTTTCATATTCTATTACTTGTTTCTACTAATCATTTCTTCTTTTCTACACTCACTGAATATAGTTGCTCCTCATTGTCCTTTGAATTACTATCCCTAGAGATTTTAACCACTGCCATGAGTCCACTCTCATTGCCAAGTGAAAGCTACAGGGTACTCCCAACACTCGAAAACGGTTATTTATACTCATCTCCCTATTACACCTGGAAATCCTACATCCACTCTGAAATCAGTATGCTCTAGTTTTGTCTCCCCCTAAAATGACTAATGGTTCATGCCACCACTCTTCTGGACCTTTAGACTCAATTCCGACACTCTCCTCTTCTTTGCCTTTTCAACCAGTCACTTCTTAATTCCACTTTCTCAGGTTTGGTCTTTTCTTTAATAATCCTGAATCAGTTAATGAGGTTTTTAAGCTTTAAAACAAAATTCCAGTAAGAAATTAGCCAAAAATTAGGGATTTCTTTTTCTTACCATGGAAGATTTGAGTTAGGAGACTGCTGGGATGCACTAAGCAGTTGAGTAATGTCTGAGTGGCATCTCCAGGGTTCTCTTGGTTTTTTCTTAGGCTTCTCACATCGTGGTCACAAGACAGTTGTCCCAAATCCAGATATCACAATTCTATTTAAGGCAGAGAGAAGGAAGGAGGGAGAAGTAGCAGTGCAGCTTCATCTGTCCCTTTCATCCAAAGTGCAAAATTATTCCCAGAAAAAGCTAGCAGATTCCTGCTTATGATTCATTGCCTTCTGAAGTGGTAGCTTCAAAAGAGCATGAGTAAAGAAATTTTTAACCTTTATGGTATTATAGTAGAGACCGGCTAAGAAGAAGGGTTTGGTTAACAACCCACAGTATTTTTTACACTTCCCATTTTCACCCCCATGGGGCATCATTGTTTTCTAACTTATTTCCTCTTTCCTCTTCCATCCTTTCCTAACTTTTCATTTTTCCCCCTTTTTCTTCCCTTCTTCCTTTATTTCTTCCTTGCTTTATATTTTATTGTCCACTTCATTTCACAAAGCATTTGAAAATGATTCGCAGGAAATTGATTAGATAGCATAATGAAATGTGAAGTGAGAGAATAAAGGGAAAAATCTCTGGATCATCTGGAGAAATGAATAGACTTCCCAAAAATTGTAATTTCTCAACTTGGATTAAAATAAGAAATAGGTAACAAACAGAAATTATTTTCAGTGGAAACTCTTGGTGTATTAGGTAGCCTAGGTCTTGGTAACTCCTAAATAAAGCCATAAATGCTTTCACTGTGATAGATGTTTGTTTATTGTTCATGCAGCTGCCAGGACAGCTTTCTCCCATGAAATGATCCAGGTTTCCAGTGACTCAGGATTGTGTCCTATGGCTTTCATACCCTGGATCCTTTGTCTGATTCAGCCGAAGGAATGGGATAAAAGGATGTGAAAGGGCATACTAACTACTTAAAAGCATTAACTTAACCATGGCGAAATAGTTCCACTCATATTCGATTGACTAACACATGGACATTTCTGGGAAATGAAGTATATTTGTGCACTCAAGAATAATAGCTATTAGTTTTGCCACACCTGGAACTGAGATGTTTTGTCTTGCTGATGGAGTAGGATACTTATTCTGAGATGCAGTGTAGCATTTGCATTAATAAAAAGTTTAGATAGTAGAGACAGAGTCAGATCTGGTCTAGAGTCCATGTCCCTCCCTTAGTTTCTAGCATGCTTTGACGGGCTTAATTCACTTACCGAAGTGACTTCATTTCTCCACCAATATTACTGGGGAAGGTAAGAGTGCCTATTTCCTAGGAGAATTAAAGATACTATTCCTAAAACACTTTAGTATTTAGTGCATTGTAAGTAATCAGTAAATGTTAGCAATTATCAATATATGAGAAAAAGACATGTTGGAATATC